CAACTAACTCTGTTTTCTGAGAGTATGAATAATACCTCATAAAATGTAAGCTGATAGTTTAAATGTTCAAACTAACTTTCAGGACCTTTCCCCCATCCTCCAGCTCATAAAAAAAAACTTATTCTGGCTTCAACCCTATCTCCAAAGTCTACCAGATGATTTTTTCCTGCCTTGGGGTTTTGCTACTAGCCTGCCTTAGTGGCAAATTGCAGACTGATTTCACTGGATCACTGTTCTTGAGTGCTTCAGTTGTATCACTTCTAATCTCATCCCTCACTTCCTTCTTCAGTAGTCTGAGATTTGAGGAGGGCAGGAAAGTGATTCCTCATCTTGCTATAGAGGTGTTAAATATATAATCCATACTGTGCACTGTTTTTTCTTCTTCTAAAACTAGACATTATAGTTGCACTTACATTTACCAGAACTGGTGCAAAAACATTTCCTTTTAATTTTTCTACAGGTTCTGTTGTAGAAGGAATTACTTTACAGTTACTTAGAATAACACAAATAATCAAGAGCATGTCCAGCACTATAAATCTGAATGCTGTGGCTTATGCCAATGATCCATGCATTAACGAGCCCATAAGCACATATTAACATCATATGTGATAACAGACTTAGTCTATCATGCCCATAAAACAAGCCCCCTCCTATTCCCTGAGATAATGTCGCTTAGGTTCTGTTATTCTCACAATGTAAAAGCTTCATCAGATTTTCAGACTCAAACAGCACACTTCCCCATGTTTGAAGGGGTCTGAAGGTATTCATTTCCTATACTAATTTATGTAAATAATTTAATGGTAGTTCTTAAAAGTGCAATAAAATGACCATAACTTCCAAATCCATCTCAAACATTTTTATAAATGTTTTTTGTTAAACACTCGTGTGAAGATAAAGAACTTCCCATCTCTACAGAAGGAAATAACTCTATGCTTCATGTTACAATGAACTAAAAGTTCAGAAGGCTAGTTACAGCCTTTCTGGGCTTCAGCTTCCCTCTTTGTTGGAGAAGCAGAATATTGACAAATATTTTGCCAATTCCTAAATCTTTCAGATAATTTGCTCTCATCTAAGACTACATCAAACACTGTAGGATGTCTACTTTATATATGTACACTTTTACTCTTTCAATTAGGATTATTGCAACAGGCACATCATCTTTTTTAATAAAAGAAACTGTTACACAACAACATACTAAAGAGACTAACAAGTAAGAAAAAAAAATTGTGTTTACTTTAATAAAGTACATAATACAAAGTAGAGTTTATGATTGTTTCCTGCCTAAAGAGGCAGTAACACTTAAAAAAAAAAAAAAAAAAAAGAGACTGTGACCACTCAATATGAAGATTATTTCTAGCCAAACAGACACATATACATGCAGTCTACCCTGAGAGTGTTTTTAAAGAAGATTTTTATACTTCTGGCAGTTCAGGTTTAAAGGTCAGATTTAAACTATCACCATGTTTCAAAATGCAATCTGTGCAATGCAGCATAATGAAATGGTTCAGTAAAGGTGCTAGTGGAAATTCTTTTAATTAGGTCCAAGGCTTTTCAGTTGTCAACATGAATAAAGCAAGAAACATTCTATTGCAAACACAGTGTAAGAAATAAAAATGGATTCACCTTTAAGAAAATGCTTCTGCTATAGAGTTGTAGTTTAGTACTTCTTGCTGTCCTGAAAGCAGTTAATTTCCCACCAAGTGAAAACCAGTTACACAGGTTTCCTACTTGTGGTAACTTGTTAACGACTGGACAACAGTATCATACACAACTAAATTACTGACAGCCTAAGATATTCATAGGCTGCTGCAAATTTACAGCCCTCTTTCAGCCCTCAGATACACAAGATCTCTTTGGCGCAGTGCACTGCATTGCATCAGGGCTTCATTTAATAAAAACTACAAGTTGACAGAGCTTATGCTTTATTCCTTTTAATACGAAGCTCTGGCTACAACTAAGACTAGAAGATGACACTTATTTGGAAATACATGAAAAATCCATAAGGGTTGCATAAAAAAAAAAAATTACTACCCCCTCTTTGCTATTCCTTGCAACACAGACGGTGGTGTAGGAGACTTGTCAGCAGCAGATGCACTTATTGTAATCACAGTCCTTAATAAATCTCTTTTTTTAATATTGACTATTTTAAAAGGAAAGTTACTTCCCAGGGTGTTCTCATGCTGCCAGATTTTCAGCAACATATCGGAAGCAGAAGGTGAAGGAGGGACAGTTTTTCACATTTCAGATAGTTAATCAGTAGCACAGTGGTACACACCTTGATTTTCAGGGACCTGACCTGACCAGTTCAGGAAGTCTGACTGCAGCAGGTACTGCTGAGGTAAACCAGGACAAAGGAATGACTTAATCTGACTCTACTGGATCTGCCTTGGTGCTATCCAGCTCCTTTGGCACAAGCATTATCAAGAAATGCATTTCACTGTAGCCTATGTTCATTTGGATCCTAGGAGTTAAAGATTAAAGAGCAGTGCAACCTAGATTCCCAAGAATCAACAGTTTAGGCAGCAACGTCACTATCATGAAAATCAAGCACAACTCACTACCTGAAGCTCTAAAATAATCATAGGACCCAATTTTCTCGATCAAAAAAAAGCTTTTCAAGGAGAAGGGGAAAACAGCTTTAAAAATTTGCCACTGGAGTAATTAGCTGATGGTGAATGCATCACACAGAAGATGTTTCTCCTCACTGTTGAATATAGATAGATTTAATTTAGCAAAGTAAATTTTGGAACTGCTCAGCAGTGCATAAATTGCTCACTGTTCACAATAAGTAGCAAAACTGGCAGAATAGTTTGAAATAACAGCCATTTATGATGATGAAACTGTTGAAGACATTTTTAGTTTCTCAGCTCGTAAATGCATCTATTTAGGCTGAGACCAGTGGGGAGACACTCTCAGAATCTCCCCATCCTTGCAGGGAAACAAAAGGAAAAAAAAAAGTTTTAAAAAAAGTATAATGGATTGGCTTTAGAGTCTCCCTGCTGAGATGAACAACTTGATCCACTTACAGTTCCAAACACATGATGCATGAAAGAACTGACAGAAATTCAATTCTTGCAAAGAAGAGCAGCTGCTCTCTAGTGGTCAAAGCCAAATATTAAGCAGTCTGAAGGAAGGAAAAGACCTCGAGGAGAATGCTTCATTATCTAGGTAACTAAAATAATGAAACAAAGCTAAATAAGACATATATACTGAACCCAAACATTAATTACACAACGCAACACAATTCAAGTTAAGGCTTTGTTGCAACAAATATTAATCCCAGCTGTATTTATATAGCAGTTGTGAAAAAAAATACACCATGTATGCTTGTGAGCCATGCCAGTTAATTGAATTTGCTGGCAGCACTTCCTCTGCTATGCTCCAAACATCCTCCAAGATAAAATGTAGCTTTTAAACAGACCTGTGGAAAACTGAATCAAGAAATTTGGACTAATAAAACACAACTCTATGCTGTTATAAAAGTGAAGTAAAAGTAAATAATGAAAGGAAGGAAGTCTCTTAAAATTTATTACATTCCAAAGCTTGAAGTTCTGTGTTTATTGCTAAAGTCTCTTCTGATGTTCTACAGTGTGCCTACAACAGGTCCTTTAATGAAGTCTCATAAAATCTAATATAATACTTGATTGTTGACAAATCATATCCATGTTTGAGGCCTTGCACTCACTGTATCCAGACATTTCTTACATAATTCCATCAAATTTACAGGCCTGTCATCCCGCGGGTTGGGGATAATGGCTTGAGCGATGCCCAGCTGGCACATTTGGATGCTGGGAGTGAAATCAAAATGAAAAACTACATAAAGCCAGAAAAATTCATGGAAGTAACTTTTATAGACTAAATGCTTGACTAAAGCCAAAATGTTCACAATCAAGATGGACCTTTCATCCCGAGCTCACTGTTTTCGAAGAATGGATCACACCACAGATCACAGGGAAATGACGGGATGTCACAGTAGGAGGCACTGGGTATTCACCATTACTTGAGTTTTCTCTCAAACAGACCAGCTTATATTGAGCTCCTGGCATATCAATTTTATTTCTCAACTACACATAAAAAGGTATAGATCTAACTGTCAGCACAATATTTTGAACTAGTAAAAGAAATCCAGATTTTCCCCTGCCGTTTTCTCCTAAACAGTCACCCTCTGACTTAAAAATAGCTTCTTACACTTACTTTACTGCTATTCCCTCTCAGCTTCTTTAGTGAAGATGATCACAGCAGCAAGTAGCAAGCTGGATGTTTTTGTCCCATTAAAGGGAAAGATCAAGTCTCTATAAAACATTTCTATCAAGCTATTAAAAAATAAATGAATTGCCAATAAAGTGTGAATGAGAAAGAAAATAAGTTCTGAATTATATGTGCTGAGCAGTGCTAGAAGTGAATATGAGGTAGTCCATCCAATATCATAGCTTGGAATATAAAATGCACAAAGTTCATTAAAGCTTACCTGGAAGAAGTCACAAAAAAATAACCCCATACAATTTCATTTGAAAACAAAAGTTAGCTAAAAATTCAGGCTTTTTTTCCCCCCAATGCCATGGATAAAGACATTTTCAAATAGTAGCACTTTTTTGCACCATGAAGAAAGAGGTTTAGTTTTTGTTTGCTGTTCAGATGTACCACAGCCTGTGTGGTTTTCCGTTGTGGTTTTGTTTTGGTTTTTTTTTTACCCATAAAAGACTAAACTCTTCAGATGGCCCAAAATTTGCTCATGCCACTCCAGAACTTAGACTGGGTTGCTGTATAATTTCCAGCTTGTGTGAGCATTGGATGATTTTCATTAGGAAGCTTAAAAATATGGCTGTACATGTTCAAATTGTCATTCCATAACACTTCAGAACAGGAAAGAACCGAGGTAAAACAGTCTTCTTATAATAACAAGAGTAAAACAATGAGACACCTCAGATATAAATCAAACATGTCAAAAGGATTTACACTTTTAGGCAATGGAATAGTTGGATAGCTCATTTCATACATACCACATCATTAGGAAGACTCTGAAGGTCATCAAAAGGGGTTTCCAGTGTGTTGGTGTCCACATTAAGAATCACTACATCTTCCAGGGCCATGTTTCTTACTTTCTAAATATCAGCAAGTTCAAGAAAAGGGAAAGGAAAATGTAAAGTATAAAGAGTTAAATTTCATACATAAGGGCACAAGCGATGGCGTAATATCATGGCATTACAAAACTTCAAGCATTTTAAAAACAACCACCATTCCTCTCTTTCTGTCATCATTTGTTTTATTTATTTACATTTTACACTGCTGAAAAATTAACCTTCAGTCTGCAGAGTGAAGTTCTTAATGTTGTATGTAGTAAAATTTTTGAAACCAGAGAGTTATTGTTTAAGATTATCCAAGTGAAGATTTATGTCAAGCACCTATACTGTCATTTGTCTTAATTCTGGTATCTTGTTTGCACATTTAGCTGTTTCAAGTGTATCTTTTTAAATTTAGAAATTAATGAAATGAATTTAAATAACAATATATAGTTTCTTTTCTAGAAGTCAAGAGCTGCAGTAAATCAGGGACAGCAACTGGTTTCCAAAGTCCAGGTTGAATTTTGGAACTCCAGTAGAGTCAAGTTTACAGTTGTATTTGAGTAAAATGGACACTACCACAGGTTAATAAATAAATATCTGGGGGAGGGGGGGAAGCAGCTAAGAGAATAATATATATATATCTCCTGGTCTTTTATTGTTTACTGAGTCTAAACTTTTTACACTGTTCCCATTAACTGAGAGAAAGGAAGGTCTCTAGTCTAGTTTGAGTGTTAACATCATCTGTAAGAGCACATGGACATACAAGAGGAAAGCATCACCTGTTTCTCAGAAGAGCAGTCACTAGTACCTTTGACTTTAGGTGTCTGAAGGTATTGGTGATCTAAGCAAATTTAAACACTGTCAGACTATTCCCTGCTTAAACAACAGTAAATGAATCACTGATACGAAACAGAGCAGCATTTAAATATTTATCTCAACACTTTTTCCACTAACAGGAAAATTCAATCCTTTTGTTTTTTTGACTGACTAATCATACCTATTTAAGCCCCCTCCAAATAAAGCTTTGAAAAGTCAAAATCAGAAAACACAGAACTACAGAATACCATAATTAAGAAAATTTCCCACTGACACTGTAAACAAATGTTTAAGTACCTACATACCTACAGGTAGGACAAAATGCAAGTTACTGAAGAGGAAAATAAACAAAATTATATTCCATTTTTAATTAAAGTTTTGTGGGATGGGGGGAGTTGTTTCCTTTAAAAGAAAGGAGCTAAAGCTCTAAAACAATGGCAAAGTTGAGCCTTAGGCATCTAAATAATTACCTTCAGTTTTCAAGGCTCAGTCCTCTGTCTATAAAAACTGCTGTGTACTTGGGGGGGTGGGGAGGAGAAGCCAAAAACTATAAAAAACACTTTGTAGACTTTAAGTTTAGCTCTTCCATGAGAAATGTCTTTAACTTAAATGGAAAAATATTACATTTAACGCTTTCCATATAAAAAGCACAAGTACTGCATGACAAACCAGGTACTTTCCTCTACATTTCAGGACCCAAAGGTCACTCTGTTGGCTGCATCTGATAAACTCTAAAGCAATCCAGGAGTCTTGCTCCTTCTAGGAGTCCGGAAGCACCAGACAAACTGATTTGCTCCTTCCTGTTCCAGAAAATTAAAAATCTCACTTATACTCAGAGGAGTCTAAAAAGCTCCAACAAAAAGGTCTTGCAATGTACTTAACCAAAGCCAGAAGCTTGTCAAAATTGAGTGCTAGTAGGACAAGACAGAAGGAATTGAAACCTCTTGATTCTTGTGAAAGAAGCCACAAACCTGTGCTTGAATTTGTCAGTGCATGGGTTTGTAACTTTGGTGAGGAATCTGCACCTTCTCTTCAGTAAAATGTTTGGGGTTTCTGTATCAAAACATAGGCTTGTGACAAGCAGCTTTCTGCCAAGAAGTACAGTACAAAAGGAACTTGCTCATGGTGCAAGGACTATAAATGCTCATCAACAAAATCAGCTCCACACATGGCCTAGAAATAATTGTATATGAAAGGAAGGCTAATTTTAAACTCTGCTGTGCTATAGCTTTACACTGTGAAGAGCACAACCTGACTTTAAAACCTCTCGATATTTGTATTAAGACAGTGGGTTGCCCTGGAGAGAAATCCTCAAATTTAATAAAACACCTGAGACTACCTTGATTTATAGCCTCTGTCTTGCAATGTATTTGAAAAAATATAATTTTTTGATCATCAAATTGTGGCTCACCCTAGAGAAATGCATCCTGACCAGTTCATCTTAATCTTTATGTGGTTTTATCATCTTTCCTTTCAATATGATCTTTGATAAAGGTATTATCAGATAGTTAGAAGGGCTTTTGTCAAATAATCATACAGTTGTTTTGCTAAACTTTGGACCTATCAGCCCAACTGACCTGGAAATAAATGTATTTACTCTCCTGTTAGAATTTTAGTAAAAATTCCCAGCATTCAGCTGTGTTCCCCACATTAAGTCCCACTGGCCTCTATGAATTGCAGCTACATGGAGATCATTCTCACAGGTCTCGTTTGCATGTTGTAATTTTCTCACAATACAAAGGGACAACCACCAAGCCATGTACACTTGCATTCCTTATGTCACAGCTTCCCGAATATCTAAACAGAATTTTACAAATAAAGTGATACCTGTTAAACAGGATGGACTGTATTCAGTGTGTTCAATTTGCTGACAAAAATGTAGAGAACCAAAGAACAAGAGGAAATATGAACTTCACAGTTTCCTTATCTAATTTTACCACAGACTTGACTCAGATTTGATTTTCTGAGTCAAACGAAGCGTTTCAGTGAAAATGTGCGTCACATATCAGTACTGCAAACCTTTCTTAAGCATCCTTACCAAATTACTTGTAGCCATAATTAATCATCCAAAACCCACCAAACTGAACCAACATCTACACCTGCCTTTTATTTTAAATGTTTCTTTTTAAAAGAGTGGAGAGGTATGGAAAGCTGGTTTAACAAGCACATTGAACCCATTGTTTATGGCCTCTATAAACATGGCTTAGTAAGAATTACCGACTTAATCAGAGAGAACTTATCTCCTGGTGAAAAGAGCACTTTAAATTTCAGAAATGGCACCTTTACTGTGAAAATCTCTTAACTTTTCAAACAAACTCCAGGGGGCCTTAAACACCAGGTCAGTAAATAAGCAGCAGTTAGTACGTCTGTCCTGCTCACAAGCAGCCAAACACTGAAGTAACTTAAATGTTTTATGTGAAAGTTTGCAAAAACACTGAGAAACTATATTCTAAGAGAAGTATTAAGGGGTGTCTCACTCCGATCACATGCTATAAGCAATATCCATCAATAACACTAAGACCACTTTGTACTAAATGTTATTATCACTGTCTACAGTTTGCAGTTTTTGCATTTCCTATCATTAAAAATCTTAGTTAAAATTGTTCATCTGAAAGAATTTTATTGAATAGTTCATTTAAAATACCCACACAATGCTGCCCCCTCAAAAAAAACCCAGGTTTGAATAACTTCATGGCTAAATTGGTGCCAAAACATAAACCAAGTTGATCATGAGTTTTCATAACCAGACATAAATGTGATCAACATGTTAAAAAAATGTTGTAACAGGAAAACCAAAGTGTACCTTCCACCAACTCTTTTGGAAAGGTAAAATTCTTAACAAAACCTGACATCCTCAGTCGCTAGTTTGCACATTATATTTGAAATTATTATAAAATCCATTTGCTTAATGACTTGTCTCTACTTAGTTAATAGTTTCCATTTATTTTCTTCAGAAAAACACCACAACGCTGCAGACAACAATGTGTCAATCTGGCTGCCAGAAGCAGGAAAGGCAACGGATATAAAATTTTATTATTTCATGCCCCAACAGCAGCCAGAAGGACTTAATGAAATCACCGTTAGATTTACAATCTGAAATAGCTATTCAGCAGACAAATCTGGTTAAGCGGGATGTGCCCCCTGACCCCCAGCCCTTTGATGTGGGCCCAGCAGGTGGGCTCCTGCCCCCTCCCGTGCATCTCCCACCTTCCGCCCATCTCCCACCCTTGATGTGCAGACCCTGATCCTGTACAGGTGATTCTCAAGATCTTATCACAAGCAGCTGTTACCAACTGAGTGACAAACATCACTAGTGCTGGGCGAACACTAGAGCACAACAGCAGGAAAATCTTCTCTGCTTACTGGCAAAGCTACTTGGTACTGCAGTATTTCTGTCTTCAAACTCACCTCTCAAGCAGAGTCTCTTATTAAAACACTGTTATTCTCATTTTTCTAATAATTGCATATGAGACAATTCCATAAGGAGTCTGTCATATTTTAAAATGCATTTTTATTAATACTCCTGAAACCACATACAACCATATTTATAATCTCTGTGACTAAATTACATTTAGTTTTTGAAGACCTGGGTTTAAGTATATATAACCCCATCATTTAAACCCTGTAAAAAAGTACACTTCAGTTATAGCTACAAAAGGCAGTGACTTACTAGGGATAAATGGATAGAAAAAGCTAAATATTACTCCTCACCCCATCCAAAAAAAACCCAATTAGCAACTAACACTACCACTGGGAGATGCCAGTGGTCAGTGAATTCTCAGGGTGTCTTTCACGGCAAGGGGAAACCACGTGGCACTCTCAGGACTAAGGCTAAGCTGATGTAACCTGTTTCTCAGAGCTGGTTAGCTCAGACTCCAGGCACACTAACTGGCACACTACCAGGCCAGAATAAAGAGAGCATCCTCACGCCTGCCTGAGGAAGACCAGGTCAATGTGCCAAGAAGTGTGTCCAGGACCCGTGTGTGGGTTCGGAGAGTGAACACAGGCTGTCCGTTAGCTCTGAGTAAGGAAGAGACTGTGGACACTACATGAGGCCAGCCGTGTCCTGCCACGTCAAACCCAGCATGAAGTTAGTGAACTTGCTTTTCATGAACATATTTGCTCATACCAGGTTAAAAATAAACCCAAAAATCTGCTCCTATAGGTTTTAGGATATGCTTTATGCTTAGGAAAAGTGTTAGAAAATCATCCTAACAAATGTGATGTGAAGTTTCACGCACAAATTCATTCTGGATCACCTTCTAAGAATTACAAGTCTGAAGTCCCAGAAAGAGTCCTTGAGTGACGAGAATATTATGAGAAAGTATAAGAAATACTTTTCTTATCATTAGCTTTAACTCTGAGGCTTGGGTCTGTGCTCTGAACAGAGTGGGCATTACTGCTACGTGACTGACTGGAAGCCTGGCACTGAACAGAATACTGCCAGCAGCTCAGGATCTGACAGCTGAACAGAACTATCCCCACCAGTTAACCACAACCACATGTGCCTGAATTCCAATAGGTAGCCCACTAGGTCAAGGGCATTCCTCTTCCATCAGCACCATCACACTAATAACCTTTCCTACAGAATCAGTTGCTGAAACAATCGTTTACTATGACAAAATGTAAAAGGCTGCCAGCTAAGTTTGACACCACTTACAACACAAAGGTCAATTTAATATAATTTGAACACTAAAATAGCATACACTATGCAGGTAGAAAATAAAACAAGATTATGAAAGGGATGTGTTCATTTGATAGAGTCTCATTTTGCTATCTCATTATTTATCAGTACTAAGTACTTATCTTCATCTAATATGAATTCAATTAGTTCCGTAAGCATGTTCCATTATTCATGCTTAGCTCCAGCCTTGCTTATCCAACAGCTTATAAACTTTTAGCCTTCTTTGAAGTCACTTTATGGATTGCTAAATGGAAATCTTATAAAGAATGACTAACTAGGTGATGATAGAAAAGCTGAAAAATAAGAGCACAAAACACAGCTCTATATTTTCTACCAAGATTTTCCCTCATAAATCAGTGGGAGCCCTCTGACCTATAACAGGAGATTATCTTATCTCACTGGAGAACATTTCAGTCACAGCAAATTAGATTTAACAGTCAATGGATATGCTTGATATTTTAATCATAAGAAAAATTTGTCATTTTCTATTAAAATAACTGTTCCTTCTACAGAGACCCTGTGTAACATGGGAAACTGCAAACTAACTTTAAGATACAAAACAGTTTGGAAAAAAAAACCTTTAGAGGTGAGAGTGTTTTGTTTAAAATCATTAACATTTCTGCTGTAGTTCTTCCAGAGGACCCATTCCAAGGTAGGAATAGCAAAAGCCCACAGAAACAACACTAAGACTAGAAAATGATTTTTTTCCTACATACCAGATTCACCCTTCCCGTTACACCACAGCTTCCTCTGCACAGGTTTAGGCTTCCACTAACATTTACACAACAATGAGGAATTCTGCAGTGGGAGCTGCTGGAGCAGAACCGTGAGCCTACACAGAACTGCAACGACTCCCGTGGGGCTCTCCTGCAGATCAAGAGTCCACCTGTCTTAACTTGGATAGCAGACTGGGGAACCGATCCCTTACCTTGAAACTAGAACATGTAGATTAACAAAACACTTTTAAAGATCTATTTGCTGAAAGTTCAACACATAAAGAAAAATTAATACTGAATAATGACAGCAGTTTTTAGTTGCCATTTATAAAATTATTTTGATATGCAAAAATTAATACATTGTATTCTTAAAAATCCACATCTGCTAGGTCGTGAGAAAAAAAAATTGTCGAGTTATTATTCTAACAAATAAACCACACAATTTTATACCTACATATGAAGAAAAAGACAAAGAGAGTAAGCTTCCAGCATCAAAAACAGGCAAAGAGGTAAACTAGTAACTGTCTCACTCATTTGACAAATGTCACCTTTCCTTTGCCCAAGGCACAGAGAAATTACGCAGTGCTTGCCAACAAACAGATAGAGTAGCCCACTGTGTGATTTTATTTTATTTTTCAGCTAGCTGGAAGATGCATTTCTATCTGGACATACTCAATTTATCCTGAAGAGCAGAGAGAGGAGACAGTTTGTTTTATTTATTTAATTTATTTCATAAGGCACTTTGAATAACTGTACTTTGCCAAAGCGTGTCTGTGTTCCAGAATCTCCGGCTATTCAAAAGCCATACTGGATTTAGTACTAAACAGATTTTTTCACAAGTTACTAAAATGGATGAAAATTGGCTTCTCCAAGAACAACTCCTTTTTCTGAGTTTTTACAGATGGAGTTTGGAAGGCCTACAGAGCCCTGCAATCTGAAGAACTGAGACAAAGGAAGAGGTAATGGGTTTCTGTGGCCAGGCAGGCAGGAGGCATCATGCAAGCAACTCCAAGGTGTAATTACTAATTTTTTTTTTCCTGTATTGATTGCCAGACTAACCACATAGCTCTCTGTGATCAAAAGTATTTGGGAAATCTGGCAAGTATCCGTACTGAGATATTTTCCCATCCTCTACCAAGTCTCTTCCTTCTTTTTCACGCAGATAGATACCACAATAAGCATGCCAATGATTACCTGGCACAGATATGGCACAGAAAGTTTCTTGATCAATATAAAATAAAATATGCTAGACTATTTCTTCCTAGATATTATTTTGGTCCTGTCTATGCAGTATTCCAGGGTAATTACCAGAAATGCCTCTAACGTAAGCGTATGATGTGCAAACAAATGTACATGTTGACTTTTAAAATAATCCCTTATTCACCAACACATCATGCTGCAATTCTGTACTTTATTTAGCAATATAAAGGGCATTAAAAAAAAAAAAAATCATCTGTAGCCAGGATGGTAAGGAAAAAAAAAAGAAAGAAAAGGAAAAAAGAAGTCCTGCATATTACATCTACCTTCTCACAAAAAAAGTGGCTTCTAAAATTACTTCACATGAACACTGGAAAAAGAGGGGAAGTTACACAGTATACTAATCTAAGTTTTAACACACAAAGATGCAGAGGATCACAATTACATCCATGTGCCCTAGTGAAAGAATATGTTTGATCAGTATTCCAGAGAAATTACACATCTTTAGGGACAACATAAGAACAAATATGCTACTAATATGCATTACTTTATGTGATGTAAATCTCAGCATTGTAAACTGTTACGTATCCCAAACACTAAGCCTAAATTTCCAAACAGAGGTATCTAAATCAGGGACACAAGTCAATTAACTTTCAAGGGCATTTGTAACTCTGGCCAGTTCAACACTGCCTGCTAATTGAAGCCCCTACAAAGCAGCTCTGCTCTCTGGGCAGGAATCCCTCTTCCCACACGGAGCACAGACACGTTGTTCAGACTTCCTGTGTAAAGGGGCACAATTAATAAGGACTAGGATTTTCATAGGGAACTAAATTAATAGCTTATGTTATCCTCCAGATACTTTTTAGGAAAGTCATCAACTGTTTCACCAGTAATGGAAGCAAAAGCAAATGTGCTATTTCCACTTTTAGAGTTTTGAAAAAGTCACATGAATTACTCTGAATTGTTTATATGTGAAGCTTTCTGTGAGGGCTGGTTTTCTGCCAGCTTTGTGTTAACATTAACAGCAAGTTCCTTCTTTTCAGATCTTTTGAACATTAAAACATTACAATCTGTCTGCAAAAGCTTAAAAGAGATCTGTAACTCTCAGCATTTTGGTTTAATATCGACTCTGCCTTTGTGAACAGAGTCAAACTAAGGCAGTAAACTGATTAAATGAAGCAACAGGATGGAGCAGGGAACAGGACGTGAGCTTGTCACCGACTGCTGAATGCAAACAGAAAGTATGTCCTAAGAGCACGAGGTACCAGGCAAGGCTCCCTTAGGACACAACACTGTCGTGTCTGCCTAACTTCAGTTCTCTCAGCACTCCTGAAGTAACAGCATTATTTCATCTTTAAGCATATGAATGAACATATAATTGCTTGTGGAATTTGGCTCTAAATCATAAAACTGCATATATAATTTCAGAAATGGTGAGAAAGACTTACCTCCATCAGACTTAAATGTATTCCAATGAGGTAGGGCATTGGGGCACTGCAAAGAGGAAGAAAACCTGGGTTTACATTCTCATAACACTGGAATAACACATATGACTTATAAAAACAGCTACAGGAAAATACTGGGATACTAGATTACATTTTGCTTAAAAAAATAATGTCTCTGTAAATGACCCACATGTGAACATGATTTTATTCCATATGAAAAGACTTTTCTGACTATGCAATATTCTCTTACTACTGTAGGACTAATTTTTTTTTTTTTGACATCAGAATTTCCAGGTGCCTAAGGTAAGACAGGTACATAGGGGCAGCTATCAAACATAGCTATAACACCAGGGGCTTTTTTTTTTTTAAAAAAAGAAACAAAATGTGTTATTACAATCTTAAAAAAAATATCCAGACCTTTTCCTGGGAGTATTTTTTAGAAAAAATTGATCCTGTTGTACTGTTAAGTGGTTAATTTAATCTGTAAGTATCACCTGGTACTGCAAGTTTTAAATCCTTTGAATGTGGATACAGACACATTTTAAATAAACGAAGTATATATATTAAAATGTTTACATCTGTAAAATAAAAACATAGAAAATGCTTTTGAAGATACTGGTAAACCCCGGAGCGAATGGGACGTACACTGATATCATTGTTCCCTTCAGAGTACAAAGCTTAAATATGCCAAGGGGCTCTGAGGTCAATTTTGCAGCCTCAAACACAGTGTGACACTTCTGCCATCAAACAGAATGTTAACATTTAAGAGAGAGATTGATCCTTTCTGTCTTCTTTTCCATGATTTTAGCAAACACCAACACGGACCATATAACACAGGGAAGAATTCTGAATGAAAGTTGTATCTTTGTGTATGGAGTATTTCTAATATTAAGCTTATTACAGGACTCCCACTCGACTAACCAGGGAAAGCTTATATTTGCACTGCTTATTAGAACACATCAAAGAGGATGCCAAAGCTGCTAATTGCAAATATGGCATATACTGCCTGTTAAATGGAAAGCACACAGACAGACACAACTTTTAAAATAGAGCCTCATTTCATTTTGGATACAGAAGCTCAAAGAGCTCATTTTCAATTTCAGATGAAAAAAATGAGAGAAATGTCACTGTACTGCCTTGGATTAAAATATCTCCCATATTGCTTTTATAAACCGGTGCCTACTGCTCAGTAAGAGAAGAAGAGTGCTGAAAAAACTACTGCAAGACACCAGACGGACAAAAAATCCCTCTGCTTCTCATTTGCAGGAGAAATAGCTTTTAAAAAAATAAATCTATGTACTGATATGCATATTAATATTTATGTTTATTAACAAACTCTCTAAAACTGTTACTCTGCAGAATGCTGTACAAAGAGATGGAAACAGCCTCTGTATTAGACATTCTACATGAAAACACTTTTCTTCTTTTTGAAAATATTAGAAACATGTAACTTCAGAAACCCCTTACAAGTCATATGTAGAACAATGAAATGCTGTGTATCACATTAGATTACAACTCACTCAGCTGCCTGGGCTGGCAAAAACACTTTGCCCAAGCCTCACCCAACACAGCACCGTGGGACTGCCAGCCCAGAGGAGCTGTTAAATCAGAAGCTAACTTGGTGCAGATCCTTGAGGCTCTGTTTCCTTGGGAAGTATGCAGGTGAGAACCAGAACACACATCCAGGTTCTTGGATAGAAATTTTTACCATACAACACGATACACATTTACTACATATGGACTGCTGCTCAGCTGAGGAGTATTTTCATTTGTCATTTTGAGTGTTTTATTTGTGACAAACACTATCTCATTCACCCACATCTCATCACTTCCAATGGCCACATTCCAGGAGCAAGAAAATACCCAGTAATTTTATATTCAAAGTATAAACCACTGGTTTAGCTGCCAGCTGCACAAATGCTCAGCTTCCCTGTGTGCCTGGCTATGCTGCTCAAGGCTTCTCCAGCATGCACTGAAATGAATGTGTTTCTAATTAAGTAGTTTCATGAACACGACAGCTTCAATCTCAAGAATACAAAGTCTGAACCTCGGCAGGAAGTCTTAGGACTGCAAATGTCTCATCTAGTGGAACTTTGGCTAATGTAATGAAAGGAAGCAGGAAGAGTGCAGTATTCCAGAAAAGCAGCCGTTTATTAATGTCTCCAAAAGTAGAGTCTGTCACCAAGCACAGGAGAATCTGAACCTATAAAAGTTAATTAGCTGTATCATGTCCATCTTTCAGTCCTCCAGTTTATCAACAAAGAATAATAAGAAACCCTAAACCCTTAAAACCATGCATGCCCAGTAAGATTGTATGGACTTACAGGACAGATATGGCTTAAGATATATGGATCAGCTTTGGATGCCATGAATCATCTTTTCAGTTTTCCAGTGACAGACATTACATGTGAAGGCAGTGCAGCAAGTAAAACTCTTACAGGATTGCACAGAGGCTACAGTAACCTGACGTTTGGCAGTGTTCTGAAAGCTGTTATTTCTTTAAGCTTTTGTCACTGAACATTAAAGGACTCCAGTCAGGTGCTTAATGGGTTGTACAGTGTGTACACTTGGACAGCCAGGAGAAAGCAGGAGGAAAAATTTGATACTCTAGAACTACAAAGAGTAGATTTGGCCTACCCACTAACAGAAAGACTAGCTTAGGTTTTGCTGATCAACATGAAAAACATGAAAATGGGAACTCTGAAGCAGTAATTTGTTAAAGTATAATGTGTTAGTTGTGCAAATATTTGTGTTAGTTTTAAGAATAGTTCTTCCACTAGGGAATGAGGCAGAGCACAAAAGAAGACATTGGGTTTTTCTTTAAGAACCATTTAACACATGGGTGAAAAACTGGATCATAGAGCACTGGGATGTGGCACTGGTGCAGAGAATGACAAACAGCAAGGTCCATGTTATGAAGGGCTCTGGCAGGTCAATGGCCAGAATTTTTTAATGCAGAAGAGAAGATGGGGAAAGTAGAAGGTAAATTAAGAAGGATGATAAAAGCATACAAAAATAATTCCTGTAAGAACTATTTCAACACATATAAGCAATTGCTTGGCTTCCAGAAGTCAGAGTGAAAACACTGAATGTTCAGAGTTTGGGCAAAGATGCCTGGAGCTATACAGATGAGTAAGAAAGGCCACATTTCAGACATGAAGCAGAAGAAACACACACCACTTAGAAATTTATTAGATTTGAAAACTAACAAAGAATTTCCCAAGTTACAGAAATATATGAGAAGAAATTAACTTGGTTTTATCCACAAAGGTCATTACTGGTAGTGGCTGGAAGCCACTGAAGAGGAATGACATATGTGAGGCATCTACAAACATCCCGGCAGAGAATCAAGGAACACAAACATGGGTTTTAGCCTGGGTGAAGGGTGAGAGGAGAAAAGCAGATCTGCAACGTGTCCTTGGAGCACTTGTTTTTGAAGGTGTATTTGTGTGAAATTCGTTTATTCAAAACTGCTTTAAAATAACCCTTACTGTTCATCACCCTAATGTGGCTCTTAAAGGGGCCTTTTTCTTCATTAGTAATAAAAATCAAATTATCTGAATTCCTATCTCACCAAAAGTTGGAACTGACATTATTGTTCAATGACACATGAACAGCAAAGCAAAAGCAAAGATATTTTAAGAATAATTCACCATGATAGCTCCTTATACTCCCAGAAGTTTACTAAGCAAACACCATAAATAACCTCAATAAAATATCCTTCTGGTACAAAGCATAAATATTTCCAATAAAATTCTACCAGAGGGATTCTATTCCTTCTGTCATCACTCATTAGTCTGAATGAAAAGGCAACACACCGAACAGTAAATGCTGAAGGTTCATATCAGGCTTCATAAACTGCTTTTATCACCATTTTTCTTTATCATGTGTTAATCATATGCCATTACTTAAACACTTGGTGACCACTCTGTAGAAGGGAACGTTGTGTGCCTTCTCTTCCCACTCAGAGCACACTAGAATAGTTCTTCCTAACTGCTATTCAGGTCCTGAGACATGAAGTGTTCAAGAGTTTTCAATATTTGATCAGGCTAGACGTGCATTTCCAAGGCTTTGAAGTGAACCTCAGTAAGACACATTGCTTGTATAAACAGGAGAAACACTCTGCACAACCTTTAATCCGTTTGGGACCCACAACAGATTAAAGGCTGCCCTTCAGACCAGCCTGTACCTACTGCTTGACACTTCATCAGTCCTGGGGCTTCCTACAACCACAACTACTCATTACTCAGAAGTGTTTGACAGCAGCCAATATTCATTAAGTGCAAAATTAACAAGTATCAGTTTCTACTGTGCATATTTACTGCTTAAACAACATGCTGCCTGAGTCTCTTGGAACAAAGAGAAAGGTTATTCCTCCTCTTGTGCTACACTGGTTCCCAATGCAATCAGTGTTATTTATAATCAAATGAGTTATACAGGTAAATATCAAATCATTACACTAGCAATGCATAAGCATGAATATGGATATTGTGGACTTAATGGCTATATATTGCCCATTTATTACAGTTGTATTTTTACAATTTCTTTAATTCGTTTCCTTAGGCTAACTAGAGAGCTCTTAATTATGTTCCCAAGAGGTGGGCAACTACTAATTGGAAGAGAAGCAGGTGAAATAGAGGGACATTTCCTCTTAAGGAAAAAAAATCCACCCTTAAAAAACAGTGCAATTCACCAGAAAAAGTAACGTAAAACCCAAGGATCTCAAAAAGGTTCATAGTTTACAGCTACACAGGGATTTGCACCATTTTGCTTCGTTGTTCCAGGAAAATTAATTAGATCACATTTACTAAATTCTTGTCTTGATATACAAATACTGACTTAACGTGTTGCTTTCACACCAGCAGTGCTTCGCTCTCTAACGTAGCCTTCTGATTTCTCTTCAGATTACTCACTGAAATGCAGCAGAATTCAATCCAAAATTTATTGGGGTAATTGATGCAAATTAGAAACTTGACTGCATAAGTAGGAATGATGTAGAAAACATACAGCTAAGAAACCAGAAGAGCAACTACAAGAGCTTTTAGTGAGTGCACAGATGCAGCAGGCTAAATCGAAATGCCAACCGAGAGGCTCCTGCTGGAGGAACCATTGTCCCCAGCAGCAGGAGCACTCGCCCTCCAGTTACCCCCTCCATCCACCTACTTAAAGGAGCAGATTGAACTATATGCAGATATGGAAAACAGGAGAAAGGCAGTTAAAAAAAAAACTCCTGGAGAAAAGGAATACTGCACCAATAGAAACATTTGTTCAGCAGCTGTGCCAGGCTGCTCTGAGAAGGTGGCTCTCAGAATATATTAATGTTGGCTGCAAAGCAGCCTATCTAATATAAAAGACTATTTTAATCACCCTAAAAAAAATATACTGTTGCTTCTGGTAAAAGCCCACAGAATAACCTGAGTGACAATGTTCTGGGACTGAGAGAACATACTAGGCTGTGTTACCAGGTCAGCAAAGACAGGTTTTTCTTACTGGCTAATTTCAAATGCAGACACTGAGAGCAAAAAGGAAGAAAACAGACTCAGTAGGAGTGTTTTTATGCCACATGAAAAACAAACTGGAAGAAGTAGTGAGGAAAATTAATACACTGGTTCTTTCACATGAAGAAATGTTTAAGTTCCCAGCAACAAAATAGATGGACAATATCTGGCCAAGTTTAAGGAGTTGTATGTGGCTCTTGCTGCTTGGTGGCAGTATCTCATTAACCAGTACTTTTGGCACCTGCTGGCAGGTACCTTTAAAAATCAAGCACACATACACACACACACACACAAAAAACCCCACACCCCTGCCAAAAAAACCCTCCCCACCAACCAGCAGGGCTTCATGTTTCCTCTGTTCTTCTGTATTCAAAGAACATGATGCAACTGTGCATTAAGTTATGAAATCTAATGATAGGATTCCCACCAATTTCTAGTCTCATCCAACCAAAATCTTTCCCTGGGCTGAAAATATGTCACAGAATGGTACCTCAGTAAATATACAAATAAAGGATAGAGCTTTTCCCCTCGCTTCCCCTCCCCAGTTCATCTAAATCATAGGGATCAGACGACTGGAGTCACTCCAGATACATGTACATGCTACTACACCACTAGTACTAACTCAGCATCCCTAGCACAAGAAGCAAGTGTATTGAGAACAAACATTTTGAAGATACAGGCCTGTGGCACTTTCAATTCTGCAGTTAGGTATGTGAATGAGGAATGCAGGTGAATATAAACACTAGGTTTATAAAAAATCCTTTCAAGAGGGAAATTGGAAGAAAATTATCCTCCTTCTGCATTATAAGTTAAAAAAAATTAGCAAAGAGTCAACCTAAAAAAAATTAGAAATGACAGTGTTTTGAAAGTACTTGGTGTAAAATGTCAATGAAGGACAAAAAGCTACTGGAAAAATTTAAACTTTAGCAGTGTCAGTGAAACAGATTCCTATTAAGCATGGTAGAGATTTTGTGGTAGAGATTTCACAACCATAGAGCTGTCAATGATCAGTCAGGATCTCAAAAGTTTCCTTTATATGAAAAATTTCCACTGCAACTCAAATGATTAAAAGCAAATAATCACAGGTGGAACTTTTTTCAAAAACTTTCAAAGATCATGAGTAGCAGAGTCTATAAACCCTTCTGTGGTTTTCAAAAGAGCAGGAGAAGATTCAACAGCATCTTACAGCAGTGTCAATAAATGGACATGGGCAACTGAATGAACACAAGATTTTCTACTCATAAGCAATGAAGAATCCTCATTACTTTAAATTTTGTTTCCATTTCAGCTCTTTAAAATTTGCAAAAGAAGCAACCAGGCAATAAGTAAAATTAAATTAAACTCTTTAAATCATCTCTGTCATTTCCCTTCAGAGGCAGACATTGATAAGCAAAAATACCTCCCTAAAGCAGGGAGCACAGAGCTGATTTCTCAGTCCTCCTTGGCAAAATGATGTCTCTAAGTTCACATGGTTACAAAATAGAGGGACTCTATGTTAAAAAATATATTGATGGCACATAAATCGTTGCTAAATTGACTTGTGTAGGGTTTCTCCCCAGTTAAAGTTCATATCTGGAATAGTTCATCTGTTGTTGTATTTGTGAGCATGCAATTACAATCTGCCTAATAATTTTATATTTTAAACTCACACTTTTCACACACTCGCTGGCTCATGGACAGGGTGTTATGCCATGAAAGAATTCATTCAGCAGAGCCCAGTGACTTGTGTCTTTATTTCCTCACGTACAGTGACCAAGTGTTTGCTTTTTGCACACTTCTGCTCCCAGCTGCGGGATCTGGACGTAGCCACTTTTAACATGGCTTTGTCAGGGACTCGATGAATACCTAATCTTCAAACCGTAAAAGCCTCTTGTGGCCCACGCCGTTGTCCTCAAAACTCCTAGCAGCATGTACCTGAAGGAGAAGCTGGCAGCAGCAGCTTCCTGTGCTAATTACAGCTGGGCAGCCCATTGTGCAGCGAAAGGGCACCTGCTGGCAGCACAAATGACTAGAACCTGCCCTTCCTGGGCAGGGAGTAAATTGAAGGGTCATTTCTGCAGGAGATAACAGGTTTTAGATTCCCTTCTGTGTATCCTCGACATAGGCACATACTTAACATTCAAATCATCTGCATAGGAACAAGTTTCCTTTAAATCACATGTTTCAGTTCCTAGCACTTCACTTAAAAATGCCAGTTATCCTGGCTGGTTCCTTACCCTGCTCAAGTGCAGAGAAAACATCACACACAACACTATCACTCTGACAAAAAAGCAGCCAACCTCCACACTAAGAGCCACACTCAGAATATAGTATTGGACAACACAGTAAGTTTGTTCTTTATTGAGAAGGAGTTTTTAAGATGCTAGTGGCAGAGGGAGGCTGTTTCTGTATTTTCAGATCATGCTCAGAAGTGCAGCACCCAATGCCCACTGGCCTGGCTGCTCCACAGGAGCCCTGCCAGCAGCCCTTGCCCGTGAAAACAAAGGCACTGAGTCCCTCAGCACTTCTGTGTCCTGCATCCCTTGACCACGACCATGCAGCAGCAGGTCCACGTTTCCCGTGTGCTCTCCTCTTACTTCCAAGCCTGCAGAAGCTTCTCATTACCCTTTAACATCCCTCTGTTTAACTCCAGCCCAGCTCTGGCCTTACTAATTCCATCCCTGCATGCCCAGGCAACAATTCCATTAGGTCTCTAACAGGGCTTCAAAGTTTAACTTCTCTAAGAAGCCTAAAGTAGATCTGCTCTCCCTGGGTTAACTTCACCTTCCTGCTACGTACACAGAGGGAAGAATAAAAAAAAGGGCTAGTCACACAAACCAAGTGTAGGAAGCAGCAACTAACAGCAGCAGCATCTTCCTCAGAGTGCTCATCCATCACTCCTGTGCACAGCGAACAGGAGAGATGATGTTATGGCTGATTTGGCTAAAATGTTCAACTTGGCACTAGAAAAGAAAGTAAAAACTGAGAGACAGTTTGAGGGACACTGCAGACAGGCTCTGGAACTATTAACTGAGGAACCCAAGACATAGACCTAATGACATGCTCATCTGCAGAGCCCAGCCGAGGCCAAGGAGGCTCCTTGGGCCACCTGGACAGTGTGGAATCAGAACAGTATGGAAAGACCTCAGGAGGGCAACTGGACCAACCTCCTGGTCATAACAGGACTGGCTCTGACATTATATGAGGTTGCTCATGGGCTGTGCCAAAATTTGTCACACCATGATAATGGAGTTTCTGAAAGGTTTATATTCAGTTCCGTAATTAAGGTAAATATCCTGTTCTAAATATACACTGACAATAAAAGAATTAATGCAGGAAAAAGAGTTTCTTCTCTTCCCTCCCCAAAAGAAGTTCAGGAAAGCAGAAAAATGAGTGTTTTCTCTACTGTATCTACAGACTCTACTGTTGGAGTCTTAATTCAAATTTTAATATTTAAAACAAATATGTGGAAAACAGATTTTAATTACACAATATCTAAGTTGCAGCCTTTCATAGTAGCCATTCATATCAGACTATCTCAATATAGTGATAGACAATTATACTTCGCCATTAAAATGATTTTTTTTTACTTACTATGTTGGTTGCTCCCTTAATATGCCCGGGCATTTTTAGAGTAACAGTGGCATTGTAAGAGGATGTAAGACTTAATATATGGAAATACGAAAGCTTTTGTGAAACTATACATCTATATATAATATATATACACATACACACACATACATATATAGCCTTACCAGCAGTAGTCCAACAGATGTGGGGGCAGAACAGGAATGTAAACATGCTGCCAGAACATCGGGTAGAGCATAGCTGCAGACCCATGAATGCAGGCAGTTAACTGGAAAACACATATTAAAACAGGATCATAAATAAGGCAAACCCCAAGCTTAAAAAGGTAAAGTTAGAAGAAAAATCAAAGAATCAATTCTGCTTTCATATCAACATGCTTTGTTACAAAATATACAGTGCTCTTGTTGAAAAAGGTACTGGTGAGTGAAGCATGACTGGTTTATGGTGGCTGTCATCTGACTGACTTTGTAAACAGCTGAGAACATGATTCATTCAGCAAACAAAACCTGAAAGCAAAACCAGTGTTATATGATGCAACAGAAACATGGAAATTAAAACACAAAGAGAACTAAAAAATAGTAAAAGCAAATCCCCCGATCCTGGTAATTACCATCCATTAAATGTCATAAAACTGGCCTGAAACTAGAAGACAAACCGACAAAGTATTTGCTCTCAGGAGGACACGATGCGAGGGGAAAACGTTTCTTATGAATAGAGCACACTCAACTCAGTGATTACATTTTTGTTATTTAAAAGGGATTTCTATCTAATTGCCCCTCATCAAATCATTTGTTCCATTAATCACTCCATTATATTTTTAAAAACTCATTCAGAATAGTTTTGATGTTGGCAGGTACTGAATGAAAAAGATCACAAATAGCAAACAAGTGCCAGTGGGGAGAATCCTCACAGAGCTTTGGAGGAAATTACATCTCTCAATCCTGCTTCAAATGTTAATTAGTAATTTGGAAAAGAAGGTAAGCAGGAGATTTGTCGCATTCACTAAGGATATTAAAATGGAAAAGGTGGTAATCCTCAATAAGGAAACCTCAGCAGAAGCTGTAGTCAGCATACCATAAGAGGAGGATATGAACACACACACACACTTGGGGAAACAGAACATACATATAGAAATAAATAAAGCTGAACACTCATACAGATAGACACACACAAGGAAAAGACTAAGAGGTGACAGGCAAACACATCCACCCTGACAGGGTTTTGCAGTTTAGGATGCCTTTTAATCTCAAATGATACCCAGCACAAGTACTACAGTGTGCTTCACTTGTGAGACACCTTTTGAAAACAGAACTCCACAAAAGCCTCGTGGTTATCTGAAGGTATGGTGGAAACAAGCACATAAAGCTTCTCTGGACAACGGGAAGGAGGGAGAACACTGCTTACAAATACCAAAAAGACAAATTCTAAAGGACTGAGGTCCTTGTGGTGGTTTGAAGTTGTGCAAGATGAAACTAAGCAAAGACAAACTGTGACGTTAATCCTAATTCAGTTAGATTTAGTGTAACGTTAAAAAAGATAGATGACTCATTATCATTAATTTCCATTAAGTCTGATTACTGAGATATAAACCTCATCATAGGGAACTCACTCTAGTAAAGAGAATGATCTAGAGGAGCCAATACAGCCTCTTCAGGCTCCATGTCAGGGAAAATTAGCTACAACTCTGGATGTAGTTTGGTTTATGTTCAATGCCAAAGCCTTTATGCAATTCCAGTGCAGTTTCTGTAAATCACAGAGCCTGGTTTTCTGATTAAAATGCAAGTCATTAGTCAAGAAGATGGAATACAGGCACATATTTTATATTTTATTTTTAAGGCTCTGAACAATAGAGATCTGGATGAACACATGAAAGCTACACAGTCACTCCTCACCTTAGTACTGCTTGATTGGGCAAGTGCTGTAACAAGATGGTCTACAAAGCTCAAAAGCAACCCAGTGCTGGGAACATGTTTCTGTAAGTGAGAATATGTAAGAATTTAAAATAGATTTGAACCACTGTCCTAAGGAAATAGTAGTTTTGGAAGCAGACAGGGAAGAGCAAGTATCTGAACAAGTACCTGTTCAGTCTTTCTCAGTAAGAAAGCACTTTATTAGCAGGTGAATATTATTTTATGGTCCATATGGGATGGAAATATTTGCAACTACTAAATTAAAGCAAAATTAGTTCATTAAAGCAAAAGTTAGAGGCTACAAAATCTTGATTTTATTCTATATTTATGACTCATGAAACACCAAAGATTTATCCCTGCCCTCCTACTGAAGAAGATGCTTGCTTCCTCACAGATTAGATGAAAGGCACAGTCTAGTTCCAAAATGTGCAGCAGAAAAGGGTGGCATGTGTTCCCACTGCACTGCTCCCTCTGCATTTCTAAATCCTTTACGTTTCCTGTTTCTGTTCTCCAAATCAAAAGGTGTCTGGGAAAAAAACACTGTTTAAAAATTTAATGCTTACTTTAAAATTGCTTCTATGAGGATCAAATGGATTATTTCCTGGCATTATTATAGAACATGGTTGCCACTGTAGAGGAGTGAACTTGGTAATTCAAGGAGGCCCCTTCCAAACCCCCTCCCCCCCCTTGGTTTTAAAACTCAGCAAGAAAAGATTAAACAGACATAATGCTCAACACTGCAGACATCTGAGCAGAACCTGTCACTTATTTTTGAGATGTACTCCCACCTTGCTATCTGGCCTGAATTCAAATAACATACTACCATGGGTAAGCACCAGTACTGTCCTTCAACTCTGCCAAGATAAGGGCTCATAAAAAAGGAATAGTCTATTTGCTGGAGACCTCACCTGATTAGTGATTGCCATACAGAAAACACACACTTAATAATAAGGCAGCCTGAGAAATGCCCAACTGTCAAAACTATAGGAATCCAGCATTTTGAAATAAGATTAGTTCCACTACCTCAGCTTCCTGCAGCTGTTGCTACTGAATGTAAAAAGATAGCTGTGTAAGAAAGACACTGCTTCACTAACTCACTTCTCACAGCTTTATATTTAATACTCTGAAAGCCTTATTTGAGCAAATTAAATCTATGGGATTTTGTCATATATGTAAAATTATGAAATGATGTTGAATTAAAACAGACATTTTCCACTGGATTTCACTCTCCTGATGCATGGACACTGCACAGTTTTACAGGCGTGGTACATGGCCACTAATACAAACACAAACTGGAAGAAATGAGCACCTCCTGCATGTTTGTCACATCATTTCTCTGTGTTACTCGGGGCTAAAAACAAAGCCGAGAGCTTCAGACTGAGCTACATAAGAATTAAGCAGTGAAAGCAGGGCTGTTGTGAAGGCTGTGTAGGCAGGTCAAGACCTCTACTGGCAGGTTAGGAGGACAGCAACAAAGCTCTTGGGAAGGAAGAGCTTGTACTTTTCAAACAGTAGTTGTAAGGCTGCTGTAGAACAAGAACTGTGCAAGCTCTTAGCTATGTTGCATCACAAGGACATTTGGTGAATGGCATTAATAACATGCTGTCTTTTCCTAAGGACCACCATTTCTTTATCCTCAGAGCCCTGAGGCATGTCAGAAAACAACCAGGGGATGAGAGGTTGTGCATCAGAGCTTTCCATGACATGGAAGAAGTGACACAGCAAGCTCTCAGCTCCCAGGAACAGGGGGGTATCCATGTCAGAATGGTATTTTTTACTTTGTACTAACACTTGAAAAATAACAAAAAAATTACATAAAGAAATTCACCTCAGTATGATGGAGCTCAACAGAAACATCACAGGATTTCACAAGTTTTAGTCTTTTAAGAATCATCAGACTTCATGTAAGCCACCTTTGTATAATGAGAGACAACCTGCTGCTGCCCTTCTCACAGCTAGTTACCACGCCTCGCTGGAGCAGAGCTGCATGAGGAGGTCAGGATGGAAGGGAGAATACTGGCTGCAAGGAAAGCTCGTGTTCCAGTTTTGCAGCAGAATGCTCCCACCAGCAGTGGGCTTTTGCCAAGCACAGGGGTTTTTATGAAAAGCCAGATATGAACAAAAATGCATGAGTAGTTAGATCACAGAATACATAAAGAAATTTAACATGAATAATTGCTTTAACATCTTGAGAAATGACTTGAGTTTCCTTTCGTAGGAAAAAATGGACAGAAATCAGCAATAATTCTTCCATAGGTTCAGTACACGTGTATAAAATGGCTAATAAATACAGCCTCACTCAGTTACCTCTAAAACTTACTCAACTTAACTATACGAAGGATATTCAAATCAAAACTGGAATTTTATATGATGTGTTATAGTACGGAATTAGTTCCACCATAAAAGACTTGCTATCCAGAACTGCTTAATTTTTTCTCTCTTACCTGTTATTAAATTGAAGCCTTAAGTTGAAGTGTGCCATGCCTCAAGTTAAAAGACATTGGCCACAAGTAGGTCCCTTACACTTTTGTTAAAAACCTAAAAATAAAAACAAAGAACCCAATCCCCCTCATCACCACCCCACCCTCACTCCACTTTGAGAATTCTCTGGTTGGTACGTTTCCAGTTACAAGGTCTTGGCTTCCGCTGAGCACAGTTTGAAATAAAATAATGCAGCTTGTTCCTGCTGCTGGAACACGCCGAGCAGAGCGCAGGGGAGGAATCGCTGGCGCTGCCCCAACACTTCAAACCTGTCTTACACTGTCACTCCAATCTTGGAGCAGCTTATATATAAAGTTGTAAGATAACACACAGTATGAGTACCCCTCCCCAGTGGAGAACCAGACATGCTTTTATCTTGGACAGAGGCAAAAGGGAGAGACATAGCAGAAAGATAGGAAGGAAAACACAACCCTACTTGTGAAATGGCTCATTAAGGAAGGCAAAGTGACAGGTAAGTAATTCTTCTTCCTGGGCTCTGTCACAAAAGGGAGAGATTCCACCAACCAACCACACAGATTCTGAAATGCTTTGGATTGCCGTTCTCTTCTTCACTCCTCTCTGATAATTTACTCTTCTTTTCATTCTTTAGGTTTCTGAAACAAACACCTCCCTCTTTCTCTTTATTCAATTACCAGGCCTGGATGTGTTTTTCTTTATTTTAGTAGGGAGGACACAGACCACTTGGGAAATATAAAAGTTAAGATTTTACAAGTTTTCTATGACATTAAACTTTATGACATCTAAATCCTTTCAGTTAAATGTGGGGATTGTAAAAATTTAATAATTATTAATAGGTCCCAGAGATCATTCTAACCTTCCTAGATTCACTTACCTTTCAAAATAATATTGTAATAATTATTCCTAGATTAAGTATGAAGTCTTACCTCTTTCATTTTTCTGCCCTATATTGACAGACCATCCTTACAGAATTTTATACACATAATTTCAGCCGTCCATAGTACTTACAACTCCATGAAGTAGTTTTAATCTCAAACCCAGTGTAGGTCACAGTGATGCAATAAGGGACTAGTTAATACCATACAACAAGGAAATGGAAGCTTGCATTTCAGAAAGGGCCACTCAAGTACTTAGTCCATAGCACTGGAGAGCAAAATTAGTTAAACCACCTTATGCTTGTCATTCATAAATGAAAGCAATCAATAGCCATTTACAGAGCAAACAAAACGAAAACTTAACATTTGCTTTTATGAAGAAAATCACAGTCTTATTGACTGATAAACCTTGAAATGTGTAACACAAAACTTTGAACTAAATCAAGGTGTGCCTGCTTGTTTTGATGTCCAGAATTTTTAGAAGAGATTGCAAGGGAGTATGCAGTAGCTTTGATCTCTCAGACACTTGATGGAGCCTAAGTAGCATTAAGACTACACCTTATCAAACAAAATTGTCAAAATGTGGATTATCAATGTATGTTAGCCCACTCCTTTCGTCCATCCAGAGGAGGTCATTGGAACATTCATTTGACAGTATCATTTATCTGGGTGGTTATTTTCCTGTCAAGTAAATTATGAGAAAGGGATTTCACTACAGCATAAACGTTTGTATATTTGTGTACCAATCAACCCGAAGAATTCCTGTATCCAAAAAACCCTTTTTGATTTGAACATTAGAGGCTGACAGAAGTTCAGTAAAATCATCAGAGAACCACAGGATTGAGGTTGGAAGGGGGGCCTGGAGATTATCAGATCATTTCCTATATGTGACTGTCATTTTTAAAGCAGTACTTTGAACAGAAGAAATTATTCTGCATTTTACTTACAGTGCTCAGCTTACTACAACAAATGAGGATGCGGCGTTCGTACAGCATACTGGCATAGAGATGCAGCATGTTGTTGACATCAACTGCTACAAAATACTCTGTCAGATTTCTCTGGGAAGAAAGAAAATAATTTTTGATTCATGATATTATAAACACAAGCATCCTTAAACAAACAAACAAAAGAGCAACACAGATTTCATCCTCTTATTACGTTACATCCAGTACGTGGCTTAATGAAAGAAAGCAGCATGTCATCTTACATCAGAGTACTTTTAACCACAGCATCTTTCCCCTGACTTTTAGGGAGCTAGGTCTTGGAATAATAAAATTGATGATGTTTCACAGACAGCTTCTTAAATACAATATACTCCTCTGAGAAAAAAACAAACAAACATGTTCCGTCAATTTGCTCTCTGAGAGGACAGTTCTGATATGACCAACCCAAATGTAAGCCCAGTCTATGCAAGAACAATTCCTGGAGCTGGAAATACACATGGGCATTTAACACACAAGCTAAAAGCAGTTTCACAGGTTGTCTGAACTTCTCACTTTGTGGACTCAGACACACGCTCACCCTTGGAACTCAGAAAGCATCTCCTTGGGGGACGGGGGAAACTGAGGAAGGAGATAGAGAATTCTCTCTCTCTGAAAATTTCAGTGGATGGCCATCTCTGATGAAGAGGCAGGATTCAAACATCCCATTTTACTTTACTGATCAGTATATGCTCATGTAGTATAACGAAAATGAATTGCAGCAGAATATTATAAGCAAAGTACATGTGCAATTTGCCTTTAAAGTGTAGTTAGAAAAACCAAGTCATGAGCAAGTAACACCACTGAAACTTTACACACACGCTTCCGAGGCTGCACAGGTTTCTTCTGTGATTTTGATGCTTAGAACAGTAAAAAGTACCAACGTAAAAATTATTGTAAATAACTGAAATTCAAACAAGAAAACAGAGCAAGCTGCTTCGGAGGCTACGGCCACTTCATCCCAGCAGCCAGCAACGTTATCCAGTTCTCACTAGCAATGTAATCACCCTGTGCACATACTGCAGTGACATGAATCATGGATCATTTACTAAATATTTAAGATGTCTTCTAATAAACAGCAGAATGCCATCCTAAGAGCTTTACTATCAGAACTAGAAAGCCACCATGTAGGTAACTCGATCAAAAAGTATTATGTTCTACCAGAATGATGAGATTTCACAGGGCAAGGCAAACAAAAAAGGATTTTTGTGTAGGGAGGATATTTTCACTTTTTAAAACATGGAAATAAAAAAAAAGGGGGGGCTGGTGGAGGAAAAAATAATACACCCCGAAATGCTCAATTAAGAAATTTGTTTCCAAATAGCTTCTTACAGATGAGAGGATTGCTATATGATAAAGCCAGTCTTATACAGAAAAGCATGAGAGCAAAATTAGATTAGTCATGAATTCAAGTGCAATCTTAATCATCGTTAAATAAAAAAGTGTAGAAAAGCAAAAAGCAAATATGATTTAGAAACTTAAAGAAGCTCAACAAAGCCTATTAGCACTTTTGACAGATCCAAAGATAACTCTAAAACCACCAATACTTGGCCTGAGAAGTCTGCCAAGATGCTTCATACTGTGCAAAAATATGTTCCACAGCTTGCCATCCAAACAGAAAGAACTAAAGAAAAATTAAGCATTGTATTTAGAAGACTTCTGTACCAGTATGCAGATAGATAAAATCTAACTCATTATGGTTAGCTTCAAGCATGTTATTATAAAACAATCATTCAGGTCTTTGTTAGAGGAAAGCTATAGGGACAGACAGGTATTTTCAAAGAAGAAGAAGAAAAAAAAAAAGCCAACACATTTTGCCAAAAACCTATTAAACTATCATGTACTTTTTCTGTATTTCTCATCCCATCTGTGCTGATTAGCATGATATTTTTGTCTAAACATAAGCTGTCTTCTCTATGGCTCTTCTTTCCCCTCTCACCCATCTTTCTGCGACGCCAAAACACAGTGTATGACGACACAATTACTGCAAATAGTGAGAATTAGAAGAATTTTAAGGTAGCACCGAGCTTCCTTTGATCCCTCCAAAATCAGGGGCATGGCAAAAGGAGCACATAATCCCTGCAGTCTGCCTGAAGAGGTAGATGGGCACGTGCATGGACGTGTTAAGGCAACGGCACCCACCACTTAGGGGAAAATAGACACAGGGACTTGATTTGCAATTATTCTTTCATCAACTTTATTCTACCAAAATACTGCATTTGATGCACAAATGTACCTTCAGATGGAAAGATTTATCAGGTTTTAGTCCTCCCTGCTCGCAGAAATTTGCCAATGACACCTGCAGAGCATGTGGGTGGTATGGTAATGTATTGATACTAAGGAAATTCACGTGTTAGCTCTAAGTTTTATTTATAACAAAGCTGTCATCTTTGAAGATGAAATTGGGACTTACACATGTATTTTGAAAGACATGTCTCGTAAGTGACAAAACCATGAATGAGTTAAATAAATACAAATGAAAGCATTCCAATTTGCAGTATAATTGTTGTGTATTTTATTTCCTAGGATTTAAACCTTTCTAGGGGAGTAAAACGAGGGATTTTCAAAAAATACGAGAACAGGTATATCCTCACTCCTCTCAAAACTCACTGAGAAGCTACAAAATTCCCTTATGCTCCTTTGAAAGTTCACTCCTAGATCAATCGTGTTTGCTCATTTGCTACCTAATGTCAGTAAATGCAAATGCACACTGGCTTCTGAGACAGAAAATAATAATCATGTCCTTCTTCCTCCATTATCTAATGAGAAATTTCTCACTGAAGGAACAAACCAATGCACTCTCTCCTCTGCAAAGAGCGAGCATGGATTATAGCTCATTTATTTCAGTGTCTTCTTGAAGGGCTTCATTTAAAAGACTTCAGTAAATTTCCTAATGGAACAGGTCAATAGAACTGAGTCAGGTTTCCTTCTCTGCCCTCCTATTGGAAATCTCTCACGTTATTTAGAAGCTTGTTTTCTTTGAAGTACCACACATTGAAAATCTAACATGGGTTAGGAAACTGGCTAAGCAGCTAGCACTGTTTTCTAATGCCATGCTGTTGTTTGGGACAACAAAATAATGAAGACAATACACTTTATCAAATGGTGTAAACAGAGAAATAAAAAAGGGGTAGGGGTGTGGATTCTAAGAAAAACAGGTAGCACTACATTATGAGTGAAAAATCAGGTGTTTTGAAATATAGGACTCAGTGATACAAAAGGATACCAGAACATCATCACCAAGAGAATATCATCATCTCAGATTGCTGACTTACCTGATAGTTCTGAAACACAACAGAGACCACCAGGTCACGTGCAGTCTTGCACTGTACTTCCTGCAATGAGCCCCACTTACTTCTGAAGTCACAGGGCATTTACAATTCTATCATATAACTTAAATCTTTTGAAGAAATGAATGCTTAGCTGTTACATAAAAGTGTCCATGCTAAATGTTTGTGTCTCATTAAACATATTGATCTGACACAAAGGCAGATAATCCTAAGAAGTTTGTTAACATTCCAGATAGAGTTCTGTGCAGCTCTCCATTAATCACTGTGTACCACTTCAAAGATTGGCACTACTAAAACTTTTGCTAATATGCATTTAAAATGTAACTGCTGATAAGATATGGAGAGTTTTGAATAAATCAGGCCAATTGATTAAAATCCATGAAGATTTATGCTCATTTAATGTCCTTGTGTTATTTCCTAATAAGCTTTAACTCTACACAAAAGTTGCATTAACAGGCAGATAAATTCCTCATAAGAAATCATACAATACTCATTAGAAAAAGTAAAAAAAAACCAAAATGAAGTAGAAGATGGTCAAATGTAACAACAGTAACACTCGGGCATTTGATTTTTAGTATTTTTTTTCCTTACAACGAGGCAGAGCTTTTTAAATTTGGGGGTGTACATATATCTATGGACAGACATATTTGCTAATTGAACAAAATGTTCTCTCACTTCTATTCCCAGAGGTGCCCTGGTTCCCCCCCGATGCTGAAAGAGCCCATCACTGCACAGGATACCCTCACGGAACCAGTCACCCTCCCTCTGAGGCACATCAGCACCACCCAGTGACTCCCAGGGCACCCTCTGGCATCCATCCCACACCACTCCTCCCACGCAGGCCCGGCCTGGGGCTTTCAGAGCACCCCAGCTCCTCCCGGCCCACGGCCCTGCTTCCACAGCAGCCTCTGACTCTGAGCATTCCATGTCTGCTGCTCCAGTGTTCTGGGAGCCTGACTGATACCTTTCAATAGAAAGCGAACGTCAGCAGCAGATAGAACCAACAGAGCATAAGTACAGCAGCAGCTCCTGCGGCCTTTGCTACGGGCTGTGTTACTGAGCTGGTCCCTATCGGCCAAGGCAGGCCCCGGGCAGACATCCCGTTTAATCCCTGTCACTGGTTTCTCACCACTACTAGCTCCTTTCTCCCTGCCCCGCAATTTGTCAGCCTGAAAAATGGGAGTGAACCTCATTCCTTGCTCTCCAGGTGATATGAGGCTTATCAAACAGAAATGGTTAAAGTTTGAGAGGATTAGCATAAAAGAAATGAACATAAAATATAAACCCTAGAAACAAGTCACTTTGTGTCTGGATTAGGACAGGATTCGATAGCTGGTTTAGATTCAGGAACTGACTCCTGAATTACTCCTAATGTATCGTATTTCTACAAAAATAAAGCACCTTAAAGAAAGAGCACATGTATTAAATTTACTGACAGGATACGTGTCAGTATGAAAAGTCTACAACACAGAAAAGCTAGCAACTATGTTTTAAAACAGATAAAGCCCCAAATGTTATCTGCTATACAAATCATCCACAAAAGAGATGGAATGTCTTGACGATTCCCTTTTCTTCCTTTCATGCCATAAATTGAGGTATATGGTGCTAAGGCAGACCGCAAAATGTTCGAGAAAGAAACCCGAGATGTCAGGCACAGAAATTTGGCTAAGAGACATAGCAAGAGCATATTAAAGAGTATTTAAAAGAAACAAATGCCAGCATTGTCTTCCCACAGATCTATCATCTGCCTAGAAATCTGAGGCATGCTGAAACTTATATAAGACGTATTATATTGTATTTTATTATATTAAGCCTTCATGAGGCTTAAAAAGTCTCCAAAAAAAGTGGCCCTAAAGACACCAGCTACACTTGACGTTTTTAGAACCATCTAACAAATGGACCATTTTTACTGGTCTCTCATGTCATTCTTTTAGAAGGGTCTCACTGTATGCTTTGCAGATCTGCTTTTTTCTACCCATCTCAGTCTGTCCATTAGTACTTTATTCTTAATCCATTTCAGCTTGTAATCAGGAAGGAAGATGTTATCCCAAGGAAAAGATGGACTGCCTGTGCAACTACAGCTGATAACACACACCTTTAGAGCAAACACCCTAGATGTTCATCTCAATCTACACAAAAAGTTTTAAGTAAGGATATACAATATCTGAATTCTGACAGCATCTTAAAAAACAAGGCAAGTTAATACCAAACTTGTATTTGATCTTTCTTAAATACTGGTAAAATGAAGATACTGGTAAACACTGAAGATAGTGAGTATCAAGATTATATCCTTGGCTTGATGAATAAGTAACCATAACACTTTAATAAATAAAACCAGCATACTGTATTGAAACACTTTAAAAAAAAAAAAAAATTCAAACCAGTAAGTTACTCTCCAGCAGGTTCTAGCAATTACTTCCCAAGTTTTGTCTGTAGTTTCAATTTCATGCTGTATGCAGTTAGACACTTAGGAAAACCAACAAAATCATGTAAACAGCGTGAGGTCAGCAAGAGGAGAAAAAAATGTCAGTCTGGATGCAGAAGAAAAAAAATGGCTTCTGTAGTTGTGAAATTACTGTTTCTTTTAAAACAGCAGTTCTTTGGAACTTATGAGAAGAAAACAGACCCTGATTCAAATTATAGCCATAACAGTGAAATACCTCAACAGCTTCTTGTTTTCTTTTTGAGAGAAAATAAAGTCTTGGTAAAGTGGATGAAATTCCTTTCTATCATAATCCTGCATTTTTATGTAAGGGATGACTCTTGTAGTACTCACTCAGATGGCAATCACAAAACTGCCTTGAGATCATTTCCAAGAATTTTTCATAGGCTTATCGTAGCGAGTGAACTTTCACACAAATTAACTCCATCATTGTTCTCTGAAATGCAACCATACTGCCACATCCAGTTACCAAATTACTGTTCTTTCCCAATTTTGAGTAGGCTAAAAATATACAGATTTATTTTACATTTCCTTACTTATTAGAACGAAGAAATCATGGACTGTTAACAGTTATAATAGAGTGGTGATAATAATAAAAGCTTTATATTTTTAAAATAACTATATTGACTTACAGCTTAAGATAATTATGCTAACCATTTTCTGGGCATTTGATATCTTTTCTTAATTTAAGTGGCAAACATTAAACCCTACTGTTTTGTTCTACTTCAAAAGGCCTGTTACTCCTGCAGTTCACAACACAATGCTTGCTTCCCAATACTTATTATAAATTACTCACTCAACATTCACTTCAACATCTAGCATATTTTACAGAATATAATCTACTACCAGGCCAAACAGAGGTAACCGTTGTTCTCTTTGCCTGCTGACATTAAACAGAAATGGTAAGGTGCATGGTCCTTGAGAGTACTCACATTTTCAGGTATACTAGGGAGCTCTCTGGTGTCAGGCACAGTAAAGTAAGAGTGCTATAAAAAGAGCAAATATTGATTATTGCAATATTGTCAAAAGCAATTTATATTTATTGCTTGGTACTAGTAACAGCAGTAGCTCAGCTAAGTAAAAATGACAGAACATTTGTTACTAACTACCAGTATGACTTCATCATGAATTTCAAGAGCTGGATTCCCAGATCACACGTGCAATGTGAAATGCATTAACACAGAAGGTATCAAATGCTCCTGAAAAGTTATATTAGACTTTTTTGTTCTTCAGAGATGCTGATGCAGACAGCCCCACACAATGTCTGACACATGCCGAGGAAACACCGAGGCAGTTGATAATTCAAGCCATCTTTCCACAGCCCACTGCAGGTTGCACAACAGACTAGAGGGAACAGCAGCAGACAGGTCCTTTTCTGCCTTACAGCATCAGTATGTTTTGTTCAAGAAAAAGCTGAAGTTATGGAAATTTACTGAGAAATGCTCCCTAAAGTTTTATGCCTACTTACCTGAAAAATGTTACTAAAGTTATAGGTCACCTTTACATGCCTTAAAAACCTACACGTTGAAAGACAATACTGGTCTCACAATTTCATAATCCATTATACTGTTATCTTTTTTAATAGTCTGCATTCCAAGAGGCTAGATTCACTCTAGTTCCCAATCTGACCATGCATGACTTGCACGACTCTTGGTTAGAGCTTTGGGAAAGGAGAGAATGCAACTAAACTGCTTCTGTAAGTCAATGTTGTATAAAATTTATATTATTTTTAGGATTTTCACAATTTGTCTTAGGGCTACTTATTAATTACTTGCTGAAGCTTTAAAGCCTGTTATATTCTTGGCTTAGTTCCATGATTGGCACAGTTTTCTTATATATATATATCAGACATTTCAGTGCTTCATGAACAGTCTATAACCCGAAATAGCAAGCGAGTATAACAGCTACACTGAATATAGACACTAAATGTATAAACACAAATTTTTGCTTTTTGATATATCACTGTTTTAGTTTGGTTGAAAAGATGCCGTGCAGAGATACAGGAATGGTATATGCAACTATATCACACACACAAAACTCACCCTGACCCGCAAATAGGCTTGTAAACCGCCAAAATAAAAGGCATAGAGACACCAGAGTTAACAGTCCCTTGGCTGCTTTTTTATATCCTTTCTTGCTTCATCGCCCATGAAATGTCTGAGACAAGGGGAGACCGGCAGCATTCCTTGAAACCACTGGTATGAAAAAACTGAAATATCCCAACTGATCGTTGCCTTTTGAGACAGCTCGTCCCCCTTCAACAGAAACGCTGCTCATGAAAGAGCTCGCCCGGGAGGACTGGGACGCTTCCACGGCCAGCTGGTGACCTAGCAAGGCCAAACAACTGTTACCTGTCGACTGACATTACAGGGTGAAGTGATGAGAGTAAGCTGCTTCTTGCCAAAAAGTACTTGAGAAAAAGAAATAAAGGAAATGAGCGGGAGAAGAGAACTGTGGCTGCACACATCACTAGCTTCCATGTGAACTCTAAATGACTAATTGGCAACTGCAGCAATGTGCATCGTAAGTATTTTTTTACCACAGCCTGCAACACAAGATTGTTCTGCAAAAAAACTAATTTGAAGGCAAAGCCCCCAATAGACTAAATTGAAAACACAATCCCATCAATAAAATCACACACCTATTCTTTAAATGTTCTTTGATTAATTTTCTCACAAGATATAAAAATGAAATAAATCCTTTTTGTGCGTGTTTTTTTTTTTTCCTTGGGGGTAGGAAGAAGAGAAGGAATCAGAAAATGTGGTAAACAATTAATACTCAAAATGCTATGACAGGTACATGACCATTTGCTTTCCAGTCTTGTCCCCCTTGCACACTCGCAAGATCTTGGAGTTCTGCAGAAGCACAGGCAATAAATGTCACATTGCTGCTCTGTGACCTCTCACAGGTCACAGACAATATGGTGAGAAATTTCCATGGGGAATATACCCAGTCTTCCTCCAATCAAAGAACAGCATTTCAAAGACATCCGAGGTTAAGGAAAGGGAAACAGAGGGCCCCAAATGTGAAAAGGGGAATTTCACAGCTCTGTATCCTCACAGGAAAACAACATCCAAGTACCAAGTTCCAAAAGAGAATTGCTTTTGACATTCCTCTACTATGGTATGCAATGAACATGGAACACCTTAGTTTACATCTCTCTCACTTCACTTACCACTCCAAGATGAACTGAAGTTCCTGGCTCAGGGATGGTAAGTTTATGAAATGTTTCTAGGAGCTCACTCCTTTGACTATCCTGAAAAAAGAAAAAAAGAAGAAAAGGAACACTAAATAGGCATTGCTACGACAAGCTAAACTCTTAAGACAGAAGAGTTGTGAAACTGGGGACTTAGAGAACTTGCAAGTGTTAAGAAAAATGTGAAATTAGATTTATACATTAGACTATGAACAGAAATAAATGTAGTTTCCTGACAGCCAAGTTTAATAACATGATTATTTTAGAATACATTTTTTTCATATGTATTTCTGCAACCTACTGAGTCACCAACCTATGCACTACATAGTTACTCAGCTTAGAGCAAGCCAGTGTTCACTGCAAGCTCTAAATAACAACTCACTAACTTACAGTAAAGCCAAATGTATTTAATCCATCTAGATGAAGATATCATTCCAAGTGCTTCTAAGCTGGAATGCAAAAGATTCTGACAAATGCAAAATACAATTATTTATTGCCAAAAAATCATAATAAATCAAAGCAACAGCCTCACTGGGAAGATTTCACTTGTAGTTCACATTTTTTCACTGCCTCAAGACTGAATTTTCCTATGTTTTGCTTTAAAACAGCATTCAGGCTGAGGCTAGATGATGCTATGTAGGTAAGCATTTTGCATCAGTAAGCTTAGTTCTACGCCTACTTTACATAACAAGTAAACATAGATAAGAAACTGTCAAAGCTCCATGAAACACTGGAATATGGGAATTGGATGGATGTGCTGAGTACAGTGCAGGCAGTAGAGAAGTCTGCACAGTCTAGGTGACTGGAGAAACCGTTAACTTGTGCTACAGTCACATTCTTGGACTTCACCTTTTTCCAAAAATAATTTTAAAGCATATTTATTTTTCAAGGGCACTTGCCAAGCTTTCATCTCAGCTGAATATATTACATCATCATTCAGGTTAATAACTCACATGGGCACTTCTGATATAAGGACTTCTTAAAACAGCTTGTCTTTATCCTCTCTCCCTCATTTGATATTGGGCCAGGGAAAAGAAGAGTTAGTACTTTAGAATAATACCTGTCCTTTTGCTGAATAATCTGCCAAGACATTGAGGAGCTTATAAAAGACTTCAAACCATGGGAGGTAACTAAAAAAAAAGAAAGAAAAAGTATGCATTTAACTTGCTAAATCTCAGTTAATAAATCCAAGATTGTTGGCTGTTACTATACAGACGCATCCTAACAACAGCCTCCACTGGACATGACACTTTATAAATATCTGTTCAGAAAGCTACGTCAGGCCTTCTGTTTGAAGGAGAACATTGCCAGCAGGTTGAAGCACCCTCTCCTGTGAGGAACGAGCTGCAGTGTTCTCTGTTCTGTGGTGTTCCCAGCCGCTGTGGGCACTGGACACCAAAGCACCACCAGCCGCACATGCGCTTGGCTACCGGCCAGGCCAGCACTGGGGGTGCTCCTTCCTTCTCACCCTGCACACAGCAGACATGCAATGCCATGCAAGCTTTTGATCCATAAGATAAATGTACACTAATGTTCATGTATGGTGGAACATGGCAAATCATAATTATTTCCCACAGTACATGTTGAATCACTGTCTTCTGTACAGCTGAGGGGCCCGGTAAATTGCAGACAGACTGTTGGTTTGGGGTTGAACCCTGATACAACAGGATTTTTTTCAATTGCATAACCAGTATCTCAGGTTTTAACTGTTGTCAAATCTAACTCCATCATTGTATTTAGCTCAGCCCTTAGTTAGGTCAAATAGAAACTTTTCCTTCAGTAAATTTGCAGTCAACTTACAAAAGAAATAAATGAACAAAATTAAAATACAAACATGCAGAAAAATCACATCTTTTTCATTTACATTACATTTCTACTCCATAAAATAAGACAGACAGCTAAGATGTTACTTTCACTAGAGTATGCTTTGGCATGATTTTTGTCCCCTATTTTCATGGCACAGTTCTTTATTTCAATTCCTTTTTAAATACCAAGTCAAGGAATTTCCCCTCAGCTGCAGTGAACAGGAAAGCAAGTTTGCGTGACGCACAAACTGAGTTTTCTTTTAATCACAGATGCTTTCTGAGGCAAATGGATTCTATTTTGATCTAGTTAGACAGGATTTAAAGTTTTTATAAAATATGACTGTATCCCGACAGCTATAAAGAATTGAGTGCCCCACAGTTCCTAACTGTACAGCTTTCAGTAATAAATGAAGTGAGAAGCTATATATGAGACAGATAAAGTGAGTGGCATTCCATCATTAACATTTGTTTGAAGCCTGCAAATGCTACTGTAAAATGTAAGTAGCTTATCAAAATGTACTGATAAACAACTTAACTTTTCATGTTATATGACAGTATTATCATTTAAATTAATATGCTCTAAGCATCTTTACAAACTATGTATTAGAATAGAGCAGAGAGACAATTACCACTTTAAACAGCATTTAAGTTTGGCATTATATTGTAAACAATCAAGACGGATTAGTTAGAAGATAAGTTTCTTTCTTTCTGTTTAGTTAAATAAACTTCAGCAGAGTTAAAAGCCATTACCAGAGTAACAAGAAATCCTCTCAAAACATATCTACTAAGTGGAGATTAAGAACCTGGTAAACAAATCCTTGCAAGGCATCTATCAAAAGTCTGAAAAGGCAGAAAACCAAGGCAGCAGAGAGCTCCCTGACCAAGTATGAAACCAAAACTTATGTCAGGAAGGCGTATTTAAAGGTCTACTTAATTGCTCAGGGAAAGAAATTTTCTTGCTGGAAAACTACATTTATAGAATAAAAATGAGGATATTTTAAAATATTATTGTGTTTATAATGTATGTGTCAGTATAAAAGCAATAAACAAGCCAAGTTACCTCACGTTCTAGTTTGCCAGTTGCCCCCAGCGCTGGCGGGCGAGGACAGAGCAGGTTCCCAGCACCATCTGCAGGTCCCCAAGAGGGACAATGCTGAGCTCTGAACCAAGGTCAGATTGTGTTCTCTTTTCAAAGATTTACTGATATTTACTTTTTTGTCCTGTCAGGGGCCTGGCTGTTCCCAGCTAAATCGTACCTCGCCCCTGTGCGAGGGAGTTCTCTTTATTACTGCAATACACCAAACATGACAAATTTGTAGGTTCTATCCATGAGAAAACACCCAAATCCAGTTTTAATTATTTTGCTCAGCAACTAGAAAATAGCTTCTATGATTCTAATAAAATTAGCCCAGCTAACATTTCATATTCACACCGTGTCAAAACATCAGCAAACCCTCCATACAACAAGAGGGAAGGTACAGCCCTACTTCTGCTGCCTTTCCCTTTTCTCCTCACTAGTACCTTATAGTGAACTTCAGTATTTTCCTTTGTTAAACACTAACTCTTTCTTATTTCAATCCATGTTTTCCAAGTGACAGTTCAGCATCTCAGCACAACCGCCTCTCTGTCCTATTTTAGGAATAAATTCATTTTGTGGAAAGTAGCTTCACAGTTTTGAAGCTGAGGAAATTGGCTGATATTGGAGGCAGATCTCAGCACAATACAACACACGGGGATCTGTGTGGCTCTTGCTCAAGAGAGGTGCAAGACAAGATAAACCAAAACAAACCCACCACAAAATTGCATAAATTACATAGACAATCTCACTTCAATTTTCACCTCCCTCCTTTGTCACTGCAGAATTCAGGATCTCTCTTGTCCTGAAATCTTTGGATATGCTGGAAAAACAATTTATCCTGCCATCTTCGATACTTTTACTTCACTTATTCCATGTGTTTACTACTCAACAGCCAAACAGTTCTGCTTTTATGAGACCAAATTGTGACCCTTTAAAGTTTAAAAAAAAATTAAAAAATCAAGAAATATAGTTATCTGAATTAGTTTCTAGATCTCTGCCAAAAAGGAAAAGAGAAAATATGTGGATTTTTAATTTTGAGGCAGCCTTTAAACACTCCTTCCAAAGAAATAGAGGTTGTATTTATAACCAAAAACTTTCTGTACCTCATGCAACTTAAGTAGCACAACTGGTAGCACTGCTGAAGATTTATGGCTTATGACTTGCTCATATTTAATTTGTAACCAAACACTTCCCCTTCCTCTTAGCTACCTTAGAACTTTTGATTAACTCTTGTTTTCACAGGTCATAGGTTAAACAAAGGAAGGGAAGTGCTCTGGAGTGAAATTGCCCAGAGCACCATAGCATGGGAGCACACAAGCACACACACACATCCCCCTTCAAGCAACACCAAAAAAGTGATGGACCAGAGATTCTTCAAGGGAGCTGAAGTTAAAAGACTGCAATAAGCATAAATCAGATTGCAGTTGAAGAGTAAACAAAAATAACAAGATAATCTGAAATTATTTTTTACTTTTACAGCCGTTTTCCGTTTCCTCACACATATACATACACATTTGCCACAAATCCAGAGAATCAAATCAAAGCCTAACCACACTGGAGCTCTCCAGACTGAGAGCTGGGCTGAGCAGCCCCAGTGCTGGGGACAGGCCAGTCTGAGGGGAAACCAGCCCCAGCACAGGAAAACGGCCCGTTAGGCTGCACAGGGTCTGCACAAACTCCACTGCACAAGCTGCACAGTGCCTTATTCAGTAACTCGTATGTCATCACCTTTTTAGTGCGCTCCTTGCAAGTACAAAACATCATTAGTTACATGTGTCACAGCAATTAGGGTCAGTAAGAATGTTAAGACAACAGCACTGTGCTGCAGCTTGTAAATACAAATGTTTCCAAAATACACCGTTTAAAGAACAGCAGAACCAAGGACTGACAGGCCAGGCTGAGACAACGGGAGAGATGCAGCACCACGAACGAGCGTGACAGCCACGGCGCAGTGCCTGCGGCAGGGGGCTGCCGTGGTGGAGGGGTGGGGTTCACCTGGGCTGGGGAGGAGCCAGGAGCCTTCTGTCCCCCCAGCAGAGCAGCTGGAGGCCACGGCGAGGCTGGAGGATGCAGATGACCTGTGCGCCGGCAGCTGCCAAGGGCCCAGCTCCCCAGCCAGCCCTGCTCACAACCCCAATCTATACTTCAAAAGTTACACAGAACAGAAAATGTCATCACCCAATATTAGCTGCTACCCAGATGAAAATGCTGTACTGCAGTCAATTTAGCTCTGAATTTTTCAACATATTAATCCACTCGTGTGCTTCAACATATGAAAAGAAAGAAACTACCACAGCAGCACACGTGGGGTTGCACTTTCTGACCTCCAGCGAAGACTGCAACCAAAACTGGAGAGTATTAAGTTAGCCCCTAAAATACAGCAACTTGAAATAAAGTAACTGCATTTATATACACATATACACACCCAAACCACGCACGTACACACACGTGCACATTATCAGTCCCCAGCAAGAGGGATGCAGCAAGAGGTGACCCAACAGAACTTCCTTTGGCAATATGAAGTTGCCAACAGCAATGAAACAAAGCAGAAAAGGGGATTTCCAGGATCCTCCTACTCTCACTGAACACTTAATATAAAAGCTTTTACAGACAAAACAGATCAATTATTAGCATTTTTAACAATCAACTTGCTAGTTTGGTGTTTGTTTTTTCAATAATTAAAAAAGAAATCCCTCTGCAGCTGACTCACATTAGACAACATTAATTGTAAGTAACACTTTAGCCAGGTCAAATAGTATATATGGATATCATAGAATCACAGAATGTTAGGGGTTGCAAGTTAGCATAGAGCAAACACTACACAGAAAGCCACTGCAGACTTAACCGCACGGCTCTCACACCCAGTCTGCCATGCAATTACCCACTCTGGGATTTCAGACAAAGGTAAACTTTTCCCCTTTAGACTTTCTGGGAAAATTCAGGATCATGCTTCATAACCTAAGTACAGTGCTTTGACTACTGTCCTACATGAAATGAAGGGCTCATTGATAACAAAATTTGGGACTTCAAGCTGCATAAACATGTGAGGGCTACTGTTTTATCTCCAGCAGAATATAAAGATTGCCTTCCAGCAAACACAAAAGCCAAGAAAATAAATACAAACCCCAGGCAACAGCTCTGTTGTAGTGATTGCCTATACATAAAGACAAGCAACTAACTTAGTCAGATGAAATGGTCCAACAGTGCATACAAAAATGCAACACCTCTAACAGCAGCAAAAGGGAAA